GGAGTTCTTTCCTCATGTATGTTTCAGCCGTCTTCACAGAGTCAAATGTGCGCTCACCATTCTTGGTTTCCATCCACAAAGTCATCGGGTAGCGCAGACCGTATGCCGAGCCAGCCTGCCGCAGAAGCCTCTTATGTAGTATGGGAGAAATATCCGGACAGTGGTCCTCTGTAGCTCAATTGGTAGAGCATGGCGCTTGTAACGCCAGGGTAGTGGGTTCGATCCCCGGGACCACCCATATGTAAAAATGTATGCACACATGACTGTAAGTCGCTTTGGATAAAAGCGTCTGCTAAATGGCATATTATATTATTATCATGATTCTGGCATCTCCTTACTTGAGCGCTCCCTTTGCTCGGGCAGCAGAGAGGATGCGAACAGTGTCCTGGTACCGTAGCAATGTAATGACAAATGCCCTGGGTGCAACCTTTCCAGGCAGCCCCTCCGTAGCGTGCGATGGGCCTTCTTAAATCAAATCAAATTTTATTTGCCACATGCGCCGAATACAACAGGTGTAGACATTACAGTGAAATGCTTACTTACAAGCCCTTAACCCAAAATGCCGTTTTTTAAATAAAGTAAAATAAAAAAGTGTTAAGTAAAAAAATACAAGCAAATAACTAAAGAGCAGCAGTAAAATAAAATAACAGTAGGGAGGCTATATACAGGGGGGTACCGGTACAGAGTCAATGTGCGGGGGCATCGGCTAGTCGAGGTAATATGTACAGTTGAAGTCGGAAGTTTACGTACACTTAGGTTGGAGTCATTAAAACTCGTTTTTCAACCACTCCACAAATGTCTTGTTGACAAACTATAGTTTTGGCAAGTCAGTTAGGACATCTACTTTGTGCATGATACAAGTAATTTTTCCAACAATTGTTTACAGACAGATTATTTCACTTATAATTCACTGTATCACAATTCCAGTGGGTCAGAAGTTTACATACACTAAGTTCACTGTGCCTTTAAACAGCTTGGAAAATTCCAGAAAATTATGTCATGGCTTTAGAAGCTTCTGATAGGCTAATTGACATCATTTGAGTCAATTGGAGGTGTACCTGTAGATGTATTTCAAGGCCTACCTTCAAACTCAGTACCTCTTTGCTTGACATCATGGGAAAATCAAAAGAAATCAGACCTCAGGAAAAAAAATTGTAGACCTCCACAAGTCTGGTTCATCCTTGGGATTAATTTCCAAACGCCTGAAGGTACCAGGTTCATCTGTACAAACAATAGTACGCAAGTATAAACACCATGGGACCACGCAGCCGTCATACCGCTCAGGAAGGAGACACGTTCTGTCTCCTAGAGATTAACGTACTTTGGTGCGAAAAGTGCAAATCAATCCCAGAACAACAGCAAAGGACCTTGTGAAGATGCTGGAGGAAACGGGTACAAAAGTGTCTATATCCACAGTAAAACGAGTCCTATATCGACATAACCTGAAAGGCCGCTCGGCAAGGAAGAAGCCACTGCTCCAAAACCGCCTTAAAAAAGCCAGACTACGGTTTGCAACTGCACATGGGGACAAAGATCGTACTTTTTGGAGAAATGTCCTCTGGTCTGATTAAACAAAAATAGAACTGTTTGGCCATAATGACCATCGTTATGTTTGGGGGAAAAGTGGGGTCACCATCCCAACCCGTCTTCCAAATGGACAATGACCCCAAGCATACTTCCAAAGTTGTTGGAAAATGGCTTAAGGACAACAAAGTCAAGGTATTGGAGTGTCCATCACAAAGCCCTGACTAGCTGTTCAGGAGTCCTAGGGTGGCTGGAGTCTTTGACAATTTTTAGGTCCTTCCTCTGACACCGCCTGGTATAGAGGTCCTGGATGGCAGGAGCTTGGCCCCAGTGATGTACTGGGCCGTATGCACTACCCTCTGTAGTGCCTTGCGGTCGGAGGCCGAGCAGTTGCCATACCAGGCGGTGATGCAACCAGTCAGGATGCTCTCTGGTGCAGTTGTAGAACTTTTTGAGGATCTGAGGACCCATGCCAAATCTTTTCAGTCTCCTGAGGGGGAATAGGCTTTGTCGTGCCCTCTTCACGACTGTCTTGGTGTGTTTGGACCATGATAGTTTGTTGGTGATGTGGACACCAAGGAACTTGAAGCTCTCAACCTGTGCTCAGTCCTCTTTTTTCCCCCTGTAGTCCACAATCATCTCCTTTGTCTTGAGTTAGAGAGCTGCCGTTTTACAGCCATCTTCTCCGGCGCCACTACAATTTCCAGTGGGTGCACGGAAGGGGGTAGATCCAGGATTTGGGAATCCTTTCCCGTGGAAAGGAGATGGCGTCTCTTCCCTCCACGGCCTCTGGGAAACCTTGAAATCTGAAACTCATGTGCTTTTGGAAAATTACGTAAGAATCAAAATTTTCCTCGAGTTTAGAAATGGCGTCTTCCACTTTCTTGTGCTTTTGATACACGTCCTCGCGGACGTCCAGGATGGCAGCCTGTTGGTCAGCATGGTCTTTTTCTAACTTTGTGACTTTCTGGTCTTCGTGGAGTTTATCGACCAGCACATCAATTTTGATGAGGCGTTCAGAAAGTGTCTCTTGGATTTTTGTTATACCCTTGTCCATCTCCATTCTGAGTCATGCTGGTGCTTCTTCTGAGCAATCGTCCGCCGAGGCCGAAGAAGGGCTGTCAGAGGGGGGCACTTTTCCATGCCTCGTCTGAGGCTTTGCAAGATTGGGCATCTTTTTGGGCATCTTTTTTTGTTTTGGCGATAAAAGAGATGTATTAACGAACAGGTCAAAATGCCTTAACATTTTTCCGAAGTTCGAGGAGGCTACGCAGACGTGTCCTGTTAGAGCTTTTCCATTGCCCATTAAAAATCCTTCTTACCTTTTTTGTAGTTAATAAATCCAATGTGAAACGTGATAACTATAGTATCCTTAACTAGCATTTTGAAAAAGTCAATCCATTCTTCAATAATTAAATATATCTCCCTAATTTCTGAATTACGCTTGTAACATCATCAGTAGGCTACTATGAGGGGGGTGGCAGGTAGCCTGCACACCCACTGGCAAAGATTTACAGCTGGCAGGCAGACGCTGGAATACGTTTCTGAGTGGCAGAGTGAGGGCTTTGCATAGGCAAATGTGTTGTGATTTTTGTGGGACTGGAAGAAAATGCCTGGAACGTAAAATAACGTTATTAACCGTTTCCCATGCGTTTAAAATACGGTTGTGTTTTGTAACAATATAGATCACTTTCGTTTTCGGTCGGGTTCTGTTCCTCAAATAATGTAGTTATTTTCCGGTTTTTGGTTCTGTTCCATCAACCGGTTCCAACCCTTGGTGTGTGTGCCTGCCCACTTGTCTCTGTTATTCTTTAATGTGAATACATGTTATGTTGGAATTGTATGTTTTCTCTAGCATATACAGTACCAGTCAAAAGTTTGGACACACCTACTCACTCAAGGGTTTTTCTTTATTTTTACTATTTTCTACATTTGTAGAATAATAGTGAAGACATCAAAACTATGAAATAACACATATGAAATTATGTAGTAACCAAAAAAGTGTTAAACAAATCAAATATATTTTCCTCAAAGTAGCCACCCTTTGCCTTGATGACAGCTTTGCATACTCTTGGCATTCTCTCAACCAGCTTCATGAGGAATGCTTTTCCAACAGTCTTGAAGGAGTTCCCACATATGCTGAGCACTTGTTGACTGCTTTTCCTTCACTCTGCCGTCCGACTCATCCCTAACCATCTCAATTGGGTTGAGGTCGGGGGATTGTGGAGGCCAGGTCATCTGATGCAGCCCTCCATCACTCTCCTTCTTGGTCAAATAGCCCTTACACAGCCTGGAGGTGTGTTTTGGGTCATTGTCCTGTTGAAAAACAAATGATAGTCCCACTAAGCCCAAACCAGATGGGATGGCGTATCGCTGCAGAATGTTGTGGTAGCCATGCTGGTTAAGTGTGCCTTGAATTCTGAATATATCACAGACCGTGTCACCAGCAAAGCACCATCACACCTCCTCTATGCTTCACGTGGGAACCACACGTGGAGATCATCCGTTCACCTACTCTGCGTCTCACAAAGACACGGCGGTTGAAACCAAAAATCTCAAATTTGGACTCAACAGACCAAAGGACAGATATCCACCGGTCTACTGTCCATTGCTCGTGTTTCTTGGCCCAAGCAAGTCTTCTTCTTATTGGTAGTGGTTTCTTTGCAGCAATCTGACCATGAAGGCCTGATTCACACTGTCTCCTCTGAACAGTTGATGTTGAGATGTCTGGTACTTGAACTCTGTGAAGCATTTATTTGGGCTGCAATCGGAGGTGCAGTTAACTCTAATGAACTTATCCTCTGCAGCAGAGGTAACTCTGGGTCTTCCTTTCCTGTGGCGGTCCTCATGAGAGCCAGTTTCATCATAGCCCTTGATGGTTTTTGTGACTGCACTTGAAGAAACTTTCAAAGTTCTTGAAATGTTCTGTATTGACTGACCTTCATGTCTTAAAGTAATGATGGACTGTTGTTTCTCTTTGCTTTTTTGAGCTGTTCTTGCTATAATATGGACTTGGTCTTTTACCAAATAGGGCTATCTTCTGTATACTTGTCACAACACAACTGATTGGCTCAAATGCATTAAGAAGGAAAGAAATTCCACAAAATAACTTTTAACAAGGCACACCTGTTAATTGAAATGCATTCCAGGTGACTACCTCATGAAGCTGGTTGAGAGAATGCCAAGATTGTGCAAAGCTGTCATCAAGGCAAAGGGTGGCTACTTTGAAGAATCTCAAATATAAAATATATGTTGATTTGTTTAACACTTTTTGGTTACTACATGATTCCATATGTGCTATTTCATAGTTTTGATGTCTTCACTATTATTCTACAATGTAGAAAATAGTAAAAATAAAGAAAAAACCCTTGAGTGAGTAGGTGTGTCAACTTTTGACTGGTACTGTACCTGTTCTAAATACACCCTTTCTCTATTTCTTTAGTGCTGTTCCAATGGGAACCACAGCAAAGGAGGAAATGAACAAGTTCTGGGCCAAAAACAACAAATTGAACCGACCCATGTCGCCACATATCACTATCTATCAGTAAGTTGTCTACGTGTGTAATAATGAATAAACTCACAGTGCATCTCAGCAATGGCCGTGTGTAAAATTTCAGTTGTGAAGGGTGCTTGTCTGAGTTGCTTTCTTCTCCGTAAGCCGTCTCGGAGATAACTCCAATAGAATGACAATACACACAGCTTTGATTCAGTGCATTGTGACATTGTTTATGGATCAGGGGAGCAAGTACCTTTTAAACCACAAAACAACCACTCAGGCACTCCTCGCAAGATAATTAACTCATTATTAGGGGTGTAACGGTTCACCAAACCCACGATTCTGTACTAATTTGGGTTAAGGTTCGGTTTCGGTACAGCGGGAAAATTAAATGGCAACTGTTAATGTGGTTAATTTTTGATTTGACAAAAATGTATTTCTTCATATACACTTTTTTTATGTATTCATTCGGGTTCACAGTTCAGACAGAACCGAGGTCCCCGTACCGAACGGTTCGGTACGAATACGTGTACCGTTACACCCCCTACTCATTATGTAATGAGCTTTTATTGATTTTGCTGTAAACAATGGATATGTATTAGATTTAAATATCGGGTCACGTGGCCAGGTAAAACGCAAGAGACCTAACTTTAGGTATTGACAGGGTTTATATCCAGTGTGAACTACAAATGCTGTGTTTGTATACTGTGTGTGTGTGACAGCCGTGTGTTGTCATGGTACCCTGTGCCTTGCAGGTGGTCGATGCCTATGATGATGTCCATCACACACAGAGGCACAGGAGTGGGACTCAGCGGAGGTAATATTAATATATAAACCTTTTACAGTACACTCCAGGGTGAAGTTTTCCCTTAACCATTATAGGGGGAAATACAAAACTGACCCAAGATCAACGTCTGGTGTCAACTTCACCCTACTCCTTTACAGTACATGGAAAGGACCACAAGATCACGGTCCTAAAAACATAATGTTGTTCTCTCTCGCTCTCCTCTCCTCTCTCTCTCTCTCTCTCTCTCTCTCTCTCTCTCTCTCTCTCTCTCTCTCTCGCTCTCCTCTCTCACTTGCTCTCTCTCTCTCATCTCTCTCTCTGCTCTCTCTATATCTCTCTCGTGCTCTCTCTCTCTCTCTCACTCGTGCTCTCTCTCTCTCTCTCTCTCGTGCTCTCGCTCTCTCTCGTGCTCTTTCTCTCGCTCTCCTCTCTCACTTGCTCTCTCTCTTCTCTCTCTCTCTCTCTCTCTCTCTCTCTCTCTCTCTCTCTCTCTCTCTCTCGTGCTCTCTCTCTCTCATGCTCTCTCTCTCTCTCTCGTGCTCTTTCTCTCTTTCTTCTCTCTCTTCTCTCCTCTCTCTCTCGTGCGCTCTCTCTCTCTCTCTCTCCCCTCTCTCGCTCTCTCTCTCAGGTATCTCGGCGTTTGCTCTCTTAGCGTTGGTGTTGCCAGGTAACTACCCATACTACCTTGACCTGATCCACTCCCTGTCCATTGGCCCTGCTCTACTCGGCCTAGCTAAGTTTGGCATTGCCTTCCCTGTGTCCTACCACACCTTGAACGGAATCCGCCATCTGGTAAGTAAAATGTGTCCACAGCGCACAACAACACTAGGTCATCGCCTTAAAACTAATATACTGGAATGTTAGTCCTTGTTTTTGTCTGTCCTTTAATATATCCTGCTTTTCTTTCGCTCTCTCTCTCTCTCTCAGTTCTGGGATAGCGGTACGGGCTTTAAGATTCCTGAGGTGTACCGCTCGGGCTATGTGGTCATCGCGCTGTCAATACTGACCTCCATTGCTGCCATTGCATACATGTGAGCAGGGAAGGAAGGAAAGAGAAAGCGAGGCGGAGGGAGGAGGAGGGGTTGTTTTGTTGATATATTCTGGTCTTTGTGGCACCAACACTGTAATTGAATGGATAAATAAATGTCTAAATAAATGTCTAACCAAAAAAATGTTTTGTGGTTTATCATGGAAAGGCTTAGCCTGGTCAATCAGACAGACCGCTGCGCCAACCTGGACTCAGGGGTAGACGTAACATAGTAAACGTAAATCCAGGACACTCCAATTACTACGATATGTTATGTTTCGTATGGTATGTATTAATTTGTGGATGTTTCGCATGGTATGTTATAAATTGCAATTAGTACAATGTTACGAATTTGAGAAACGTATGATATGTTACGAATTCCAATTTGTTGTGGCTAACGTTAGCTCGGTGGCTAACGTTAGCTAGGTTAGGGGTTAAAGGAAAATAGCTAAAAAGTAGTAAGTAGTTGCTAATTAGCTAAAATTGTCCGTGATTAGATTCGAACACGCAACCTTTGGGTTGCTAGACGTTCACATTGTACACCCATCCAGTCTCTACTTTCATTGTTGCCTTAAGTAACCTTCTGTCTTATGTAACCATACCGAATCTAACATGTCATACTAATGAGTGTGCCGGATTTACTATGTTACGTCTAGTCTGAGACCAGGCTGGCTGTGCTCAAGTTTCATTTCAAGTGAAAATATTAGTGAAATAAGTTAAACAGAATGGGGCTACAAAATGACAGTGTTGTGTGATGGAAAAAATGAAGCCAAAATAATGGAAGTATGACCCTAACATCACCCGGTTTGTTATCTAACTCAATATGATTACATTTTATCACCAATTAGGGGATGAACAATGACATCAGCGGCACAAATGGCTCCCTATGAAGTGCACTGCTTTTGACACAAGGCCCATTGGGCTCTGTTCAAAAGTAGTGCACTATATGGGAAATGGGGTGCTATTTGGGACACAAACATTGCCTCATCAGGTGTCCTAAATCTGTCTCCTTTTATGTCATTTATCTGCAATAGATCCACATTTGGTTCACTCAGAGCATGACATCACCAGGAATGCCACTTGTCAGTCAGAGCTCATGCTTGTGTGTGAGCTCCTATCTGTTCTGTCTACAGTAGCCCACTTTGGGAGACATTTTGTCTCCGTCCCAGTCCATTACATCACCACCAACAGCATTTTGTCGCCAGGGCAGAAAAAGGCAGACTGTGACTTGAGTTATGTTTTTCTGAAATATTGATCAAGGCTCCCACAGTTTGTGTGTAACATTTTCCACTGTGGATATCAGTCTTTATTCCATGAGGTCATTAACACCTGCAAGTTATTGGATGTGTGCACACTATGTTTGAAACTACTTATGTTTTCTGAACTAGCTACGAAGTTGCCTGAGGCTTCAGCTCCCACCAAGCCACACAGGAGCTGTGGTCCTTCTGCACCTGATCATGTTTGGTTTGTTGCAGTCTAAAGAGAATGGCATGTTGTGACGTAATGGTGGGCCTCAACCTCAATGTGGTGTTTGTGCGTGCGACGAATGTCTTAAATAATACCCTATTCCCTATGTAATGCATTGCTTTTGGTCAAAAGTAGTGCACTACATAGGGAATAGGTTCCCATTTGGAATGAGGCCTGTGTGTGCACAGCCAATAATGAATGTACCAGAATAAAATACAATTTTATCGGATGCTATTATCTGATATTTACAAGTTACATTAAATTATTACAAATACACTTAAAATCATATTTTACAGATGGGGCCCTGTGCTTTGGGCAATCATGTCACATGACCTGGGTTTCAACCTTTATTCAAAGCTTTTTCATCAAATTGTCCCATTTTTCTTTGTCACATGGTCCAGCACCATCCTCAGACAATTGCTTTCATTTTTGGTGTAATTCTAATTTCTGGAAAAGGCTTAATATAAAGGTTAACATCTAGGTAGTGTGACATGATAGCCCGAAACACAGGTCCCTATTTATAGAGCACATATGTTAGTCTACATTGCATTAATTTTACTCTGAGGTTGAAGAAATTCGGCTTGGCCCCTAAGACCCTCACAAACTTTTACAGATGCACAATTGAGAGCATCCTGTCGGGCTGTATCACCGCCTGGTACGGCAACTGCAACGCCCGCAACCGCAGGGCTCTCCAGAGGGTGGGTCAGTACAGGTGCATCAAAGCTGGGACCGAGAGACTGAAAAACTGCATCTATCTCAAGGCCATTAGACTGTTAAATAGCCATCACTAGCCAGCTACTACCCGGTTCCTCAACCCTTCACCATAGAGGCTGCTGCCCTATGTACATAGACATGGAATCACTGGTCACTTTAATAATGTTTACATACCGTTTTACTCATTTTATATGTATATACTGTATTCTACTGTATTTTAGTCAATGCCACTCCGACATCGCTCGTACTAATATTTATGTTTCTTGATTCCATTATTTTACTTTTAGATTTGTGTGTAGCCTATTGTTGTAAATTGTTAGCTCCTACTGCACTGTTGGAGCTAGGAAATAAATCATTTCGCTACACCCGCAATTACATCTGTTAAATATGTGTATGTGACCAGTACAATTTGATTTCATTTATAGATGACATCAAAGACGTTCGCTTATCCCTTAGATGAAACTAACAGGGACTGATATTGCCATCTTGGAGCTGAATAGTGATGCGCCCCTATTGGTCTGTCCGGGAATAGCGGCCAAATGGTCCTGATGCTGCTTGATGTCTAGAGGATGGGCGATACGGCTGGGAAGGGAGAATATATACACGGTTTTCACCAATGGTGAGACTCAGTCTCTGTGGCGCAATGGAATAGCGCGCTGGACTTCTAATCCAGAGGCTCCGGGTTCGAGTCCCGGCAGAGATGGGTTCGCCAAGGAACCGGTCGGTTTTTTGAAAACATACATTTACTAAATTGTTCAATTGAAGCATACCTTTTATTGCATTATACAAGCAATTGTGGCCATTCAAATGTGTGCTTAGTTTCTCAATGTGGCGCTGGATACACAGCTTAGATAATGTAATGTTTATATAAAATGAAACATGTAATCTCCATAACAGATAGATTCTTTTGAGTTTCTCCGTCCACATTCAGGCTACTGTATTCCATTTACAATCAGTTCTCATTGCAGCACCGGGATATCGTTCAGCAGTAATCAGGGATGTATGCACAATGCATGCTTCACTCGGGTAGGCTGACTCCCCTCATCAAACACTTTCCCTCGGAAGACTGCAGCTTTAGCTCGACATCTTGTTTAATTTAGTCACCCATCTCTTTCCATTCACCCCCCCCCCCCCCCCCCCCCACTTATCCTTTCTTTCATGTGATCTGAATTCATTCACACATCCATAAGTCATTCATGATTAATATAATATAGGCTATAGGCCTACCGTCTGACTGCCAGTATGTAAAAAAGTATGATCATTTTAATTATAGGCAATAATGAGTGTCACATTATGCAATAACTTTTAATTATACATTTGGCCTAAGCTATATTTTCCAAAACAATTAACAAAAACACACACTGACTCATTACAAACACACGCACGCGCCTGTGTGCAAATGTTATTTTTTTTTATTACACTAATTAAATCATCATAATAATCATCATAATCACTAAATAGTCCAAATGACATGTTGACACTGTATGTTGTTGATGATGATACATATAGGAAAGCGCGCGCAATGACAACTCCTGGTGGCTTGTTTCTGTTTTCAGCACATGGAGCATGCCCCGTCATTTTTTATTTTATTTTTTGAGAGCCTTGAGTTTCAGTCCTCTCTAACAACGAATTCAACAACCACATTTGAATTATAACCGATGCGTAAAAGCTGGAAATAGTAGGCATAATAAAGCCTATGTCTATATTTAATTTTAAACTGAGGCATTCCTGCTGCTACTACAGCTGTCTGGTGATCCCCTCTCCTATACCCGATACATTTAAGATTGATATCCTCCCGCCTCCTACGTCCTGCTTGTCGCCTATGGTGATTGGGCTTTTCGTGCCACTGCTCCATCCACCATTTTAACCCCAAGTCTCCCCCTACACACGAACTAATCCGCATGCAAAACTAATCCTTAATCCCCTCGCGTGTTGAACCACCACCACCCCTCCCCCCACCCAGTCCCCTCGCGTGTTGAACCACCACCACCCCTCCGCCCACCCACCCACCAGTAGTCTGCTGGGCCTGGCGCTTGGTGACTCCACTCAGAAAGACCACGCCTCGCGCTGTCAGTTAAAAAGACCCCTCCCTAACGGAAAGCAGAGAAAAACATTGATTCATAAGTGTTAGGTCTAGCTACATCAGTTATTTATGGCCATTGGGGACTAGCCTACTACCACTACTTAGGCTACTAAACCTATAATAATAATAATAATAATAATAATAATAACAACAATAATAATAAGAGGGACTAGATAAAAGAAGAACAATTAAGAAAAAACTATTAGCCTATTATTTTTCTATGATGAGACAAATAACATAGGCCTAAAATCATATTGGGCATAGGCTACAGTCTATATGAATATGACATCTCAGTTTTTCTTTCGCCAATATACACTACATAACCAAAAGTATGTGGACACCTGGTTGTCGAACATCTCATTCCAAAATCTTGGCCATTAATATGGAGTTGGTCCCCCCTTTGCTGCTATAAAAGCCTCCACTCTTCTGGGAAGGCTTTCCATTAGATGTTGGAACATTGCTGTGGGGACTTGCTTCCATTCAGCCACAAGAGCATTAGTGAAGTTGGGCACTGATGTTGGCTCGCAGTCGGCGTTCCAATTCATCCCAAAGGTCTTCAATGGGGTTGAGGTCAGGGCTCTGCGCAGGCCAGTCAAGTTCTTCCACACCGATCTCGACAAACCATTTCTGTATGGACCTCGCTTTGTGCAGAGGGGCATTGTCATACTGAAACAGGAAAGGGCCTTCCCCAAACTGCTGCCACAAAGTTGGAAGCACAGAATAATCTAGAACATCATTGTATGC